CTTGTCTTGGCCAATCTTTGTCCTCTAGATGCACCATCACCCAACCAGCTAAGCAATTCATTTGTCAGCCAGGTTTGCAGAAATAAAATGGTGTGGCCCATACCACCCCTCTCTAAATCCTAAAGTTATTCTGGGACTAGAAGTACCAGATCCAAACATTTCTAGAAGGGAAAGCAAGCCAATTAAAATGGCTATATTTTGTAAACCAACTTACTATATAAGAACAGTCAGCCCCTAAAAAGGAGTTGATGAATTCTTTTAAATATACCAAAATGTTTGCAGCACAACAGCAAACAAAGTTAACAGACTGACCAAATTATTTTACATTTGTTTTTACAAGATAGTAAACTTAGTATGCCTATATACTGATGTCAGCTTTCATGGCCAGCATCTGTTGGGCAGCGCTGGGCTTCAGGGCTTAGTGACCGTGGTCTAGACAACAGATTTCCTGGCATTTCACCAGCAGCTGGTGGGCATCTTCAAAGGCAAGGCGGTCTGCTATAAGGACCTCAGGCAACTGAGCAGGGTCTTTATAGCCAGGTGACCTGCTGGATGTTCTTTGTATGGCTTTGCTAGCTACTGCCAGTGCAAACCCTGGAATGGGTAGGATAAACACTGAATATAATGCTAATCCATAATGCGGTCTGCTTGGTTTGGCTTAGTACATGATGTGCAAACCCATCCCAGGAAAAAAGTTAGTTTTTTTAACCATTGTGGGTGAATCTGCATAAGATATGAAGTGCCAGGCAACCTCTGTATTACATATTATGTCAAAAGACAGCAAAACTGCTGATGGTTGTGCATGCCAATATCAAAGAACTGAAGGATTATATACAGCAGGATTACAAAACTACAACTTCCCTGACTGAAATGTTATTTTTCTTGTCCTACCAATCTAACTCTTATATCAAAATGAAAGACATAACTATGAGATGGGAATACAGATCTCACAACAATTATAGGACTGTTTAAAACAAAGCCCAAGATATTTTTATCAGGGGAATTGCTTTTAGCGCAAACCAGTCAAGAAAACAAGTTTGGTGTTGGCAGGTACTTACTTTCTGGTTCCTAGGAAGGCATTAAGAGGAGAAGAAAAGAAAGGGAAAGTGAAAAATACTGTTTATACAGGTAACAACACCAGAGAGTAAAACTGACAAATGACTGGAACAGGACTGTAAAACCCACCACTGTGAGATTACATTGTCAATTACAACATGCCACAGTGGGACAGTGACTTCTACTGAACTCATAAATTCCATTCTCCTTTGCGTCCAAAGTTATCAAATTTCCAATATGCCCTACAAGTAACTAATTTCCTCCCATCTCCAAGCCCTGAGAGCTGTGTTTCTCTATCATTTTAAAATTAAAATAAGGCCAGTTATGAAAACAATTTCCAAGCCAACCTGCAAAATCTATGATAGATGGAACTTTATTTCAGTTAGATTTTGAAAAATTTAATAAATCAATTTTATTTTTAGCTGTTACGTCCAGTTTCTCATTCATAATACACACACATACACAAACGTTAATAATTCTGCTATGAATTGTAATGCCTCTGCCAAAGCCACTGAACTAAAAGTTTATTAAATTAAATATCCATTTGATCATTTCCCAAATATGAACATTTACACTGCCTCAAACATAACAAATCCATATAAAGATAAGATGCTTGGGTACATTTAGCTGCCTCAAAGATTTGCCAGAGTAGGAAGGCAAGATATAAAATGAATGACTCAATGAGATGTGGGCAACTCGAGTTGGCCCTCTCTTCTCACGAGGGTAGAGCTGGGCCAGAAAGAAGGATGCAAAATGGGGCAGTTGTAATTCTGCAGCAAGGCTACGCAGCAACTCTACTTCAAAAGGGAAAAGGTGCTTTGGAGTGTACAGAAGGGTTCATGTCTTCTTACTGTGGAGCTCATGGGCTACGCGATAGGCCTGTACAGGGCTTCAGATACAAAGTGTGAAGTTGTGGCCATAGCGCTTCTCAGCACTTCCTTAAAGCAGCAGTGTCCACATTAAGCAAAGCATGCACCATGTGTCACATCTGCTTGTGTAAAAAAAGTGTATCAATCTCCATGCCACTGGGGAGGGAGATTGGAATGCACAGCAAAGCCCATGAGATGGTTATGTTGGATGCTGATGTTTGTTTATAGTTTTATCCCAGCTGCCAATTATATATTTATTGTTATACAGTTGTTAGGTTATATTTTTTTAATTGTTAGCCACCCAGAATCATGATGATGAGATGGGTGACAATCCACATTTAAATAAATAAATAAATGCTCCATGGTACAAACCTATAGGTAACTGCTGGCTTTCACAATTGCAGTCTGAGACATATCTGCACCAATATTTAACAACTATTTGAAGCAGTAAGTTGATTTAAATCAATCCACCCTAGATACTGAATATTATTTTCCCTAATAAAGGCACAAAGAGATAATTTGTCAACTTCCTCATCAACTCAGGTGTATTTAACTTTTTTCCTAGGCTGTCTCTGTATAAGAAAAATATACTTCATGTACTGTATCTTAGACTAAAGTAGAAGATAAAGAGAATTATAAACTTCCATCTTTTTAAGACCACATTTCCACTTGCACTTCTATTTATGAATGAATTACATTAAGCATACTAAAAATGAGTTAAAGTGCAGAATATCAAAGTGCATCACCCTAACCCTAACTCTTATCTGCATTTCAGTGTACTTAATATAAGCCCAGATGTATAAATTACACTATGAAATTCTCCTTGCCTCGTTAGAACGTGTTACTCTGTGAGGTCGCAACTATACATAAAAACGTTCTAACATACTATTAATTGTTTTCAGTGCTAAACTGTAAACAATCGAGGTGGGTTCCTATTTCAAACAGGGTCACAAAACACTGTGGGTGCAACTTGTGAAGATAGTAAGTCCACCTCCACTAAAGCCACTGGAAATGCCCTGCAAATAAGCAAGGTGCAGTACATTATATGAATTGGCTTGCACAGTCCATGTTCTGTTGTACAAGTGAACAGACATAAGAATCCCATATTATTCATAAATGGACTCACAATAGTGTAATTTTTAATTTACTATTTTAGAAATCATTGTAAGTTCTCATCCATGAATGGCAGGTTATTTGCTGTTTGATCAATAAAAGCATGCCTTAATTTCACTGGTCACAAACGTTTATTCATATGAAGAAAAACAGAGTGAAGATCAGTTAAAACAGTTTGTGTGATGGAATGGAATGAGAGGGGTCAAGGACAGAAGCATCTCCTCAGCCCACAGCGTGAGCACAGAAAATGAGGAAGATGAGATTGGCACCACCCTAAGGAATTTGTAGTGTTTAGTTGCTGGCTTGGGGAGTTTAGAGTTAGTCTGGCAAGATTCTG